AAGAATCAGAACACTGTTCCTTCTCCATTTGGCTTCCACAGTTCTAACACTGCACTGTCCCACTTACCAAAATATATCATATTTAACCGCACCTCTCTCTTCCTATGTTTAGGTGGTGCTGAAGTGCATAGAAGTGGTATGCTACTTACCTACACCTCAGAGAACTTAGCGCAGTCTCAAGCATGGTGGGCACTACATAGATTTCCTTGTGCTGTTTTAGGCTACCACGTGAAATATGCATTACTAGAACCAAACTGAGCTCTTAGGTTGGTTGATCTGGACTGTGTAATGTGAGCAGATGCTAAGGAAATTCAAAGGGGAAAATTCAGAAACCTTTATGACTTTCCCCCGCCCATGATTTGCATTTTTGGCATTTTTCCAGCAAAAATTTTAGGCAGCTTCAAGTTTCTCTGTCCAAGGAAAAGAGATGAAGAAGTTCAGGTTCATTAGAGAATTTAATAGTTGACTTAAATAATCTTAAGAAAGCCTGAGCAACACAGCTTTATTTCCCACCAGAGAAAAGTACACTGCACACTAGATCAGTGGTTACTTGCTGACTCACTCAACTGCTAGAGAATGCCACAAAGAAAACAAACAGGACATTACCATATGTGGAGGGACTTGGGTTCTTCACCTTACCACAGCTTCTAATAAAAACATTCAGGGTCTTGGAATAGAAAAGTGTGGACTTTGTGACTGAAGAGACCTAGGTTGGAAGCCCGCCTCTATATATCACTAGTTGTGACTTCAAGCAGAAACCATTCAAATCTTAGCACCCACAATGTCAGAACTAAAAGATAGCTGCCTCAATGGGTTGGTATAAAATATAAATCTTAGGAGCTCAGGAAATACTGATTTGTTTCACTTCCTTGGGTTTCATTTTTTTTCTGTGTAAAAATCAGTATTTTAGATCACTTAGTTACTAGATGATACTAAGGCCCTTTCCAGCTCTAAAATGCTATATCAGATTTTTCTCTTTAGGTACAAAGAACACTAGGAAAATTTTAGAAGTATTTTAAAATCTGTTGCATTCTGATGAGGGTATCTTTTCATTCTAATTTCCTTAGATTTAGTTTTCTTTTTTGAATCTCCTGAAATGGATAAATCATTTTTTTTTTTTTTGCCAAAAAGCAGGTTCTCACTCAAGAGTTCAGAGTTAATTCCACAAGCAATTCTTTTGGGGTGTTCCAAATTTGGAGAGATAACAAGAAGAAAACTTCCTCTTCCCATAAGTACATACCATAGAGAACAATGGAGATGAGACAGTATTACAGGGACCCTGCTCTTTCCAAAAGGTGGAATTCCTCTTGCTCTCCAATAGGTTATTTAAATGGTCTATGGGGTGGGACAGGTGAGAGGCCCACTGCATGAGCTGAGGCAGTTCTCTACACTTTAAAGATGAGGCAGGTGGTGACTCTGGACTCAACTGGGAGCTGTTTCCCTGTTAACTGCGGCCCTGGTCAAGATCTTCCTTGGGAGCAGGTAAAGATTTTATTCAGAAAATCCAGTGAATTTGCATCTAGCACAATAATATATACTGTATACATTTTATAAAGCTTTTTAAAAAATATTGACATAAGAACGAAGTTTTAAAACACTTTAATATTTGACTGAATCAAGTCTTAATCCTTCTTACATGTTGACTATCACCAACATTTTTTTTTTTTAAGGGAAAACCATTCAATATCATATAAATGTTCAATATGAGTGAAAATTTCATTCTCATTGGAGAAGAACCTAAATCATAGTTTAAAAATAACTAATGGTTGTGTAACTTTTTGTAAACTTCACAAAAACTCTACACGATCAATCTGATCCCCACAACAAACCTTTGAAGTTAATTCAAAATTTACTTTTATGCTTACCATTATTATGTCCTCACCTTTGTGGATATGATAAAGTGTGGTAGACAGCCTATCAGAACTAGGGCCTTCACCAAGGCTGTGAAATACAAAATTCTGGGCTTTTCCTCCTTCTGCCCCCCTTATACTAATGTTGTTCTCCCTCAGTAGAGATCTCCCCTGAGCGAGTTCTCCACAAGCAGGATCTGACATTATGTCCAGGTGCCCTTATTCTAGAACCTTATCTCTTTGTGACCAAAAAAAAACGTGTGAAAACTGCTCTGTAGGACTGCCAGCACAGCCACATGCCAATTATGCTTTAGAAAATAAAGTTGAAGAGCATCAAGCACAAATAATACTTAAGTTGAAGTTCCCTCTGGACCTCATTCCTTGGGTATTTAAAATGAAAACTTTGGTCATGAATTCATCTGTATTTAACATAAAGGGCTAGTATCTGTTAAGTTATAATTTTTTTTTTCATTTAGTAATAGTGAATTTTCTTGCCCAGACTTTAGCATTAGGGTAAGTAACATGCCCAGCTTTTCATTTCCCAGGGGTCATTATGATTTTTAGAAATACTGGAAAGGAGCACTAGGCAAGGAAGTTTTTGTGCAAAAGAGATACACACATGCCTGTTACCATAGTTACAACAGGAATGGCCAGAAGAAGTGTACTTTTTCCTAGAAGCAGTGAGCAAGCCTTGTGTAGTTGGGACTACGGGATGAACAATCCTGTCTTGCTCTGCAGGGTTTCACTGTGGTTTGCCCTGAGTTTAAGCCTGAAACAGGGAGCAGAAGGAGGGACAGATGATTTGTTTCCATGCAATGAAGTTGTTGCTCCTGCCCCATCAGTTTGCTTTTACTCTCAGAACTGCACAAACTTGCAGTCTACAAATTACTCATTCCTTCTCCTTCTAGCAAGTTATTGGAGTTAACAGCCAAGAGTAATTTTAGTTAGTTTGACAGTCTACAGGTTTATAAAAGGGGGAGAATGTCTCTCTCAATCCCAAACTTCTTAGGCTGAATTAAGATACAGCTATGGAGATCATGGCAGATGAGCTACCCCAGAGTCTTCTCATCGTGTGATGCTTTCCACATCTGGCTTTTTGGAGCATGATGGAATGTGACCTCTGCCATCTTCCATTGTAGTGGTCTATATTTTTTTTTATAGACAGCTTTGTTAGTTATACCCTCCTCTACTTTTAGAAAAGGAAACTAAGTGTTAGAACAGTGAAGTAAGTCATCCAGTGCCACTCAACTATGACAATCAGAGCCCAGGGCCATGTGACCCCCAAACCTGAGAGGAAGCTATGCCCTTTGACTTCCTCACCCAAAACTGAAAGAGGCTTCCTTATAATTTCCATCCCCTAGTCCTGGTCCTATCCTCTGAAAGTGTTTTAATTCTTCCTTCAGATGATTACCATGGCTTTTAGGCCTATTCTGAATCTTTGAGAACACAGGTCACTGTTTTTAGACGCTCATTTTCCAATCCCCTACGCTGGGTGTATTTCACATTTGTGCTATTGCAAAGCTCTCTAAAGGTCTGCCTGGTCTGCCCAGTTCTGCACCCAACAGCCAAAGTCATCTTTAAGATGGGACTTGTCTAATTTCAGTCCTATGCTCAACACACTTCTGTGGCTTCCTTTGTTACTCTGAGCAAAAATTAAATATTTATAATCAATGTCAAGATTGGAGAACTGTCTTAATGAAATTTTCTTTCCAAAGTGGATAGTTCATCTCTAAACAACAACAAAGATTCCAAAGCCCATGACAAGCCCACACTTCCATTCTCTGCCTTTGCTCTTCCTTTAGGCAAGGCAGCCAAGCAGAGCCTTCCCCTCCCCTGCAATGTAAGTCTGCTTTCCAGTTTCTCTTCCCATTTGTCCTTCAAGTCACCTTCATCATTGAAGCCTTCTCCAACTGCTCTACAGAAAATAGTAAATCTTTTTCCTCTCTGGGATTCTCTCTGCTCTTTCTGTATTTTCCCTCCATAGCACTTATGACCATCTGATTTATTGTTTCCTTTAGTTAGTTCCTTGTTTCTTTTTTCTCTTTTCTTTTTTTTGCCTCCCCTTTCATTCATATAAGAATGCAAGCTCAATGAGGACAGGAAATTTTATCTGTATTCAAGTCTAAGGTTAAATCATAAGAATCTGGATTACATGACTTTTTTTACATGGGTGACTCTGCCATACTCCCATAACAATAGCTCCTGGCACATACAAAATCTCTATACTCCCTTTAATTCTTTTAGTAAAAACTTTGACATTAGCAGGTCAGATTTCTGAAGTCATCTCTGCAGGGATTTCCTATCCTATGTGGACAGGAAAATAGATGCATATGTATATAAATGTTAATAACCTTTTATGGATATACTGTCTCTAGCTTTAAATGATATGATATAGTATTTTCTTCATAGCCCTCATTAATAACCACCCAGCCTCAGAGCATCCTGTTACAATGGATTAGAAGAATCTGTCTGGATTCAAGACAAGGTTCTTAAACAAATCAGTGGTTTTACACAATTACCTGCCACAGAACGACTCACTTACCTTACTATCACATGCTACCCAGAGGAGTGAGCATTCTGCAGAAAATAATACTGAACTTGTAATGAATGACATTACACTTGTAAAATCTCTAGCTTATAATGAGCCTTTGAAAGTCATTACAGAAATGAACTCTTTCACAGGGTACCATTTTGTACTGGTGGATTTGACACAGTATATTTTGTTCACTTCAATATACTATGCAGCCACTCTGTTAAAAAATGCCAGAAATTCTAATGTTGAGAAACGGAAATACCATAATGCAATAAACTAAATGGTGGGATAAGATAAAACTACGTTAATAACTCTAGGACTGAACTGTAATCCTTACTGCTGCTCACAAGGTGTAGAAATCATCAACCCAAGCTATCCCTTCAGCTAACATTTCAAATTATTCATCGTTAATTTGCAGCGCTTCCTATGAAAAGCTGAAGAAGGTTTTGTTCTCACATGTTGAGGGTGAGGAGACAGTTTAACATTTTTAAAACATATGTAATTCCCTCCCCCATTTTCATGATTTTTAGAAGCCCCTTAAGAATCACAAATCGGCAAGAACTGTCAGTCACATTCATCTAGGGTTTAATATAAAGCATTAGTGTTTTTATACCCACAACAAAACATGGACCTGCAGAAGTTTTCAAGCAATCCTCCAGCAGCTTCATGCGTGTCTTCTGGAGCTCAGGGCTGTCCCATTCATCTTCATCAACGCCCCAGTACAGATCTATGACCTGGGGACAAATGGATGAGGCAGCATTAATTCCCCTGAGGGAAAATTAAATTCACCTGTGGGCTCTGCTCTTGCTCACAATGTCAAGCTAGGGTGACTTTCAACTTCTCTCTTTGCAGCACATTTTCCTTCAGAGAGGGAAAGTAATTTTTTCAAGATCCATCTAAAGTGACATTTTTTTTTTTTAATTCTACGATGGGCTGGGAAGGAACATGATAATTTCTTTTTAAAATTTTTATTTTATTTCTGATTATACAGTTCCCATGAGCTCAGAGAAAAGGAAATGTGAAATGTCAGATGCACTGGGGTGCAGGCTTTCATTGTATTGAAATGGTAACAGAATTAAAAAGAAGAATGCAGCTGGGATAAGGTTACCACAGTATCTGCGGCAATTAAATCACAGTGTAAAATATTACTGTTATGTTTTAATATGAGAAGGGGAAAATCACAACGGCATTAATATATATTGATCCCAAGTTAAGCATTTACATTGTTTTAAACAAACAAAAAAATCTCCCATAACCCTGTTAATATCATGCTTCCCCCTGGGGACAGATACTCTGGTTATGTCTGTTTTATCTGTGTGCAGCTTGGCTTTCATCCACATGTATCTGAAAAATGAGTGCTGGAAAACAATAAAAGGCACGCCCCGCTGAGGAGGGAGCCTAATAATGTTTTCTGTCTCCTGACTTCAAAGACTCCCAGGGAAAAGTCTGCAAGACTGTAAAAACTTTTACAAGCATGCTCTTTGAAAAGTACTACACTGAGCAGTAGGGGTTTCATTCCTTTTACTCAATTGCTATCTGCATAAAGCAAATGTTTCCAATTGCAGCTTTGAAGATTTCTTTTTTCCTTCCATTTTTTCCCCACAAGCAGGAACAACACTCTCCCCCACCTCTGCTGAAGTCTTCATGAGAGACAGGGAGATGGAAGCACAGAAGGCAGGTCTATCTCTGCAGCTCAGGCAGACCCCTGGAACTTTCTGTGCTGCCTGTTTCTTGTTGGTGGTCCCCACACAATGTGTATATACTAGATTTCGCTTACGTCAGAGTTTAGTTTTTGGAAGGCTGGTAGATATATGACAGTTTCTGTATAATATAGTTCCATGACCCAGTCCATGACTTTTATTACATACAGACCTTTATGCACGGATTTGGGGGCTTTTCCTTTTAATGTACCTTGCAAGATTTAATCATACAATATTAGGCAAAGGGACATCTCAGATGATAACTTGAGCATCTCATCTGAGAGTCTCCAGCTGAGACTATTTAAAATTAAATAAAAATGAATGAAAATTTAGAAGTTCATTTCAAGTGCTCACTGGCTGCATGTGACTACTGGGCAGTGGAGATAAGCATAATACTTCACTATCATAGTAAATTCCATTGGGTATTTATTTAATTACCAAGTTTCAATAGAGCACAGAAATTATCTAGTAATGTAAAGTCAGAATGGGGTCATAAAATAATCTAATTTGATGAATAATGGAAGTCCATGACTTGCAAGATGTCATGTTCCCAGCAAATCAAAAGGATAAAGAAATAACACTCAGCTGTGCATAGCAACACAGGCCTGTAATCCCAGGGACTTAGGAGGCTGAGGCAGGAAGATTGCAAGTTTGAGGTTAGCCTCAGCAGCCTAGAGAGACCCTGTCCCTAAATAAATAAATAGGCTGAGGATGTAGCTCAGAGGGAGAGCACTGCTGGGTTCAATCCCTAGTACCCCTGCCCCCAAAGAAATAACACTTATGTTGTGAATTTTTCTGAGTGCTTTAAATGCCATAGAGTAAATTAACCTCCTGCCAAGTTAGGACCTGTTTCTGATGTTTTAGAATAACAAGATGAACTTTTATACCTCACCATCCTTGGGAAGATGCCCAAAGAGCTGTGGCAAGTGCTGGGAACATGGTCTCCCCTTGGTGGGAACAGAATCCCCCTTGACATGTGGCTCTGGTCTCCTGTACCGAGAAGGAAATTCACAGTCTAGTGTGAACAATGTGTTCAGAGAAAAGCTGGGAAGAGAATGGATGGCTCGACTGGTTGGCCAGAGTCTGGGATTCACTGGGCTTGACCTGTTGGTGGGACCACTGGTCCAAGGCCAATGCTCAGGTGTGGTAAGATCTCAGGTATTCTCTGCCACTTCTTGGATTCATACTTGTGGCACAAAAGGAACTTTCCCTACCCTGTTTGGCTTGTCCATGGAAGATACCATATGGTAATCTGTCTGGGAAAACTACACAGCTGAGGCCAGGTGAATGGTAAAGAAACCTATGCTTGTTTCGAGGTAGGCATTGCAATCAAGCTTACTCATTTGCTGATTCTCTTTTGAGTGAATGGAGGACAGAGCACCACCCAATCTCTTAGTTCCAGACCCTCGTGGGGCTGCCACTAGGGATCACACTCCGCTCTGTATGATTCAGAAAAACCCCCTTCTTCCTGACATTTTATTTCCAGATCCTAGAAAACGGTTACTGAAATCATTAAGACAAGACATTTTTGGCCATCTGCCAATAAATTGTCAAGCTAAATATATACAAAAACCACTGCTATATGAATGGTACCCCTTAGTTGTGCCATGCACAATCTAAAATCCATATAACCTTTTCTCTGTCTTTTTGGCTGACACTGGATATACAGTTATGTGTTGCATAGTAACATTTTGGTCAATGACAGACCACAGATATGATGGTCCCATAAGATTACATCACCTAGTGACATCATAGCCATCTTAGTTTGTGTGAGTACACTTTATGATTATGAAACGATGACAAAATTGCCAAATAACACATTTCTCAGAGGGTACCCCGTTGTTAAGCAGGGCATGATGGCTGAAGAAGATCTTATTTAAAACAAGAGAAAATACATGGACAAGATGAAGGTTAATATAAAAAAAGTTATAAACCGGCACTTGTTCCTCCCAGATTCTTTAAGAACAAATTGATACAAAGTAATAATTAGAACAGACCACTGGACTTATATACATATATTATATATGTGTGTATATATAAAACATGTATAACAGTAAGAGGCAAAAAAGGTAGAAAAGAATGAGAGCTATTCAGGAGACATCTTTCTATAGCTTGTAAAACTGTTAAAAATTATAAATAGATTCAGATAAATTAAGATGCATGTGCCCTAAAATAATTATTAATGTAACTTGAATATAGTGAGAAAAAAACATTAAAATGCTACACTACAGAATATTCACTTACTGCAAAGGCAGAGTACTAGAAGAGCAACAGAGGAACACAAGAAGCATGAGATAGAAAAAAGTAAAATGGCAGATGTAAATCCAAGTACACCAACAATATCAATTAAATGTGAAGGGATTAAACAATCCAAAGTCAAAGATTATCAATGAAGATAAAAACAAGATTTGACTTAATGCTGCCTAAAGACACTATTTTAAATTTAAATATATATGAAGGAAGATCAGTAGAACAGAAGAAAGGTAAGGAGGAGGGAAGTGCTGGGGAATGATACTGGCCAAATTATATTGTGCACATATGAATATGTAACAACAAATCCCAGCGTATGTACAACTATAATGTGCCAATAAAAATGTGGAGAAAAATAAATTCATATATATAAATAGACAGACAATAAAAGGATAGGAAAACATACCCTGCAAACAGCAACCACAAGAAAAACACATCATGCAAACAGTAACCAGAAGAAAGTTTGACTGGCTCTATGAAGATCAGACATATAAAGCATAAAATATAATTAGAAATAAAAGGGATAGTGCATGATGATAAAAGGTTCAATTCATCAGGAAGATGTGTCAAGCAGGAGTGAATATGTAAGGGCAGAGTCCCCAAAGACATGGCGAAAGGTCAGAAATGGAGAGAGGAACAGATGACTCAGCTATGATAGTTGGAGACCTGAACTTCTCATATTCACTAAGGAAAGAACAACCGGGAAGATTGACAGAATACTAGAAGACTTGACCAATACTCAACACCAACTACAGCAAACGTATCTACAATAATCTACTCAGCAGCAGCTGAACGTTTTTTTCTAGAGTATACACAAAACATTCTCCAGGATGGTACATACATTCATTTAAAACAACTTAATAAAGTCAAATGGATTTAAATAATACACACAGTATCTTCTCTGAATACAACGAATGATTAGAAATTAGTGACACAAAGAAATTTGGGAAATTCACCAATTTTTGGAAACTGATATATTTGTAAATAGTAACAGGTCAAGGAAGAGATCATAAGGGAAATAAAATAATACTTAGATGGATGAAAATGAAGATACAACAGACCAAAACTTATGGGATACAACTAAAGCAGTACAGAAAAGAAATTTTATAGCTATAAATAATTATATTAAAAAAGATCTCCAATTATCAAACATAATAATTTAAGAAACTAGGAAAATAAGAGGAAGCCAGAGTTAACTAAGTTAGCGGAAGCAAGGAAGTAAGAGATTATGATACAAATTAGTGAAACAGGAAAACAAAATCAACAAAACAAAAAAATCTTTGATTCTTTGAAAGGATCAACAAAATGGATAAGCAATAGCAATAAATAAAGAAGACTCAAATTACTACAGTCAGGAGTGAAAGAAAGATTAATTATTACTGACCTTACAGGAATAATATTTATAAAAGAATATACTAGAAACAACTCACTGTATGCCAATGAATTAGTAACATAGACGAAATGGACAAATTCCTAAAGACACAAATTAGCAAAACTGACTTAAGAAATAATAGACAATGTGAAGACATCTTTAAAAAGAGATTGAGTAGCAATTAAAAATTAAATACTGCACAGAAAGAAACTCCTAGGTCCAGATGGATGCACTTACAAGTTCTACCAAACATTTAAAGAATAATTAATACCAATTTTTCACAAACTTGTGCAAAAATAGAAGCAGAGGACATACTTCCCTGCTTATTCTGAGACTGGTATGATTTTGCTACAAAAACCAGACAAAAACTTTCCCAAAAAGATTGCTTCAATATTTCTTCTGAATATAAAAC